TATGCTACTAGAAATTTTTATGAAAGAAATTCAGAGACGATGTTTTACGAAGACCAACGATAGCCTGATAACCATGTTTTTATACAAACAGGGAAAAAGTGAAATATCATGAGTTACTCAACAAGAGGATAAATATCGCAGAGAAAATACAGCTTGATAAACTCTGGCTAAAAGTAGCAGAAACGACGATGTGAAAACGAACATCTTCCTTATCGTTGTCGAATAAATTTTCTTCCTGGCGTAAAGTGTTTCATCGCCGGAGTTTACAGTAATCCAGACAATTGTTTCGAATTAAAATGTTAATTATTTTAATATTTCGACAGAGTAATTATCAGATTCACGCAAATTGTTATTCAGTAAACGAACACTATCTTAACCTCTTTCTTTTTTGTTTTTGAAATCACAAAGTAAATACAGAGTTTCTGGGATATCGAGGGCGCGCTATTAAGACGGTCCTCGACATCGAGTTACCGAAGTCACTCGATTTCCTTAGCAACTTTGACCGGTCTCTGTTATTTAATGCGTCCGGATAGAAACGTGCGAGTGCGCGAAAATTGAAAGACATATTGCTTATAACTGTGCGGTTACTAAATTAAAGAGCAACAACATTACTCCATATACTGTACTATGAAATATATTGTCAATAAAAAGCAGGATTCATGTCGCAAAAATGAAGATTATAGCATATGTTGAAACTGTATAAAAATATATAAAATTCACAAATATCAATTATACAGGGTGGTGGTACAAGCGGAAAGGGGGTGATTCTACGCGAACAAAGAAGTAGAAAATATAGAATAAAAATTTTTCGTTTGAGGCTTTGTTTTCGACAAAAATCGACTTTGAATTTTCGCTCGGTACGCGTGCACTTTATCACGTCTCATTGTAATGGATCTCACTGTAGATCGTTGTCTCGATGGAAAAATTTAAAAAAAAAGGAAAAATTAAAAAAAAGAAAATTTTTATTCTATATTTTCGACTTCTTTTTTCGCGTAGAATCACCTCCTTTACGCTTGTACCACCAGTTACCAACCACCCTGTATATAAAATATAAAGTAAATGTCCGTATTTTTGCTATTTCCATAGACTTATTGTTAATAATTTTATTTATTAAGTCACTTTGTTATATAAATTAATCTGATATATTATTTTGCTTAACGATGTATAATTGCTAGTCAAAAGTTTTTTAAATTCACGATATTTAAATGCTAAAAATATCCCCAATAGTAAGACATTAATAAATTCACTCATAAGTTTCCTAGTTTTGACATTTTGTATTTTACACTTGTATCGTTGACTAAATCTCTTCGGTAACTATTATACTAAATCCATAACGTCGCATGCTACACGAAAATCGTATTTTGTCAGGTCATTTATACAGTTTTATCGCGTATATATATGTGTGCATAGGTACATAATTCCTACGCAAAGGTTGCATGAAACACTCTGATCTTTCCCATGTCCCATGTTCTGAAATACCACCCTCGCCCCTAAAAAAAATCGGAGAGATTTTAACATCATTTACGATTTATAACGTGTCGCAACGGTTATAATTATAAGTCCGTTTAAAACATAGGTTTGAACGCGCTCCGTTTATTCGGACAAAACTTTAGTTAGTGCACGATTAAATAAACTTCATTTATTATTTTATTATATTCATTTACCTGAACGTAAAATCTGTTATACGAACGATAAATCATAAGTACATAGTAGACACGTAAGTATTTGTTGCACAACAGATTCAAATAAACAAAATTCTATCGTATATTAAATACAAATTATGGACGTTATTAAATAAAATAATGTAAGTAAGTAAATTGATAATTGAATTGAAACATTACTTTAACATAATCTTATATTAGGAAGTAAAACATTAGATTTATAGTATATATTAAATATATATGCTATGTATATACTTAGAACTAAGTTAAAAAAATGTATAACTTGTTATAAAATATTATGACAAGTCGTAAAAATCATAAAACTGGTAAACAAATAACGAGAAATCTGTAATTATTCTAAGTTGAAATATTATACAAGTTCTTTTTTCTTTAAAATGATGATGAAATGGTGATCATTATTGACCACTGGTCAATTTCATGTTTGTCTACAATAGCACAATTATTTTTATCATAAACTGGCATTTAATATAAATTACCATGGTTCTAACACAGAAACTAGTACCATGTGAGTGTAAATTTAATTTCAACTTGTAAAAAATATTAAAATTATAAAAATGATTGTTGTAATAAATTGTTGAAGGTGTAAATTCTCAAAAAAATTTTGGAATTATTTAGTTTGATCGTATTACAAAGCAAACGACACTTCTTATGATTTTGGTAAACCGTTACGCCCGATCATCGTTGCGGTTCATTGTCACCTTGTACACAGTTATATGAGGAACATTCGGGTCACGGGTGAGCTCATTTCTGTTTGATCTTCCACACCGTGAACACCGAAAGGAAAATTTCAGTTAGTAAGATTTAAATTATTAATTTATAACAATAGAAATACAATATCTAAACTATTATTTCATAACATTTAAGCTATTAATTTACATTTATTAACATTAACATTAATTTACATTATTATTATTACATATATTAACATTTTGGCTATTAATTTATAACATTTAAGTCATTAATTTATAACATTAAAATATTCTTTCGAAAGATCGCAAATTCTTTCGTTCGTTCGCGTCACGATTTTTATTTTATTCTCTGATCGATCGCGGTTTCTCTTTCGCTTCTCCCTACTTTGAAGGGAAATTTAGTTCAGGTATCTCGGAGTTTATAATTTTTCTATATTTTTAAAAGTTTAATGTCGCGAAAATAGAATACTTAAAATAGTTTAGTACAACGACTCGTTTCCTGTTCCTTTCACAAGACACGAAATTGTATATGTCAGTAGCTTTAATTTCTTTCTCTCGTTCCAAGTTTGACAAATAAGTGCAGCCAGTGGAGCTACGAATTATTATACAATATTAGTTTTAAGCCTTAGTTTTAGTATATTTGTGAAACAAGATTTTGATGATCTTTTTTTTTATTTTCATTTTTATCTTTTACTGTTTTCAGTAAGTACTGCTTTCATTGAACGTAATTTAACTTTTTGGATTATCGCTAAATTATGTTGCGAGTTTTTAAGTCAGATTAGCTATACTTGATAATATGTAATTAATAATCAATTTGAGAATACAAAGATGAAAATTAAAAACGTTCGAAAATTCACATTTACATGTTTGAGATATGTGAAATTACAATTTGAAACTTCTATTTTTTAATTTAATTGGAAGTTTTAATTGATTGCATTATTTAACTATTATCGTATAGTTATGTATTATTTTAATACTATGTAATGTATAAGTGCAATGTACATAATAGATATACAATATTTCATTATTTCGATAATTTGTAATACTTACTGAAATATTGTAAGAGTATAAAATTCCATACTTCCATAGGATTATAGGACGTTCTATGTTTTATTTATAATTCCATATAAGACTTTAATTTTAATTCAAACCAGTACTATACTGAATCAATAACGTCGCATGTGACACGAAAATGGTAAAGAGTGATCCCCAAAACGTAGGACACGAAAAGGCATTGCATGTCTATTCTGTACTTCGTCTGTGATAAATTGTACATAACCTCTGTACTTAACCAATAAATTCATCACTTAAAGGCTGATGTTGTCATTTTGTTCAATAACTATAGTACAATACAATACAACATAATGTCAGATTTATCCTGCATTTAGTCAATGGATTTTTATTCTTTATTGAATTGCAAGTGTCAAGGCATATCTCATTTCACTTCATTCGCTAGTACCGATACTACGCAGAAATTCCGTAAGATGTCAGGTCTAACTTGGTACATATAATTATTGCTCTTATTATATAGTTATTTTTTTTGTTCAACGCATTTTGTGTATTTTTATCGTAATCGCTAACGAACACGTAATCACTAATACCGATATAACGCGCTAATAAACAAGTAAAACAAATTGTGCATGGAATCTTTAAATACAAATTCAAATTTTATAACTCAATGTCTTTCTAAATATAGTTTTGAGTGTTGCTTTATATTAACAGAAAATGGGATTTAGAAGGGAAGAGGGAGAGAGAATTAAAACAAAAAAGAATCTTAGAAAAGAACATATCAGAATGGAAATTTCAAGAACGATAGGTATTTTTAAAGGAGTCGTTCTCTCAGCTTTGAATAAGGTAGCTTTATTTTGTTAAAAATATTACTGACATTATCAATTAACAGCGGAATAACGAGTTAATCGGAAAACGATGAGATACTTTCTTTCACACATCGTGATCGTTGAATTCCGGCGGTGTCGTCTCGTACTTTACAAAAAAAACGTTCTCGTTTTGCGTTTAAAATATACATGTCTATATGCAGTGTCTCGTGTGTGTGTGTGTGCGCGCACGCGCGCGCGCGTGTTGTGTGTATGTATGCTGCATGTGTGTATGTATGCTGCATATGTATATATATATGTGTGTGTATGTGTGTGTGTATATATATAAGTGTGGGCCTGTGTATCGTAAAAGGTGGCTGCGATTGAAATGCGACGAGATCATTGAATCACTTTATTGTCACACGCCATGTCTGGCATCAGGGGTATCTTTTATCAGATATATTATACTGGATACAGTCACTAACGCTTTATATTAATTCATTCCGCGTAGATCCCGCCATGAACTCCTCGAATCGTAGCAGTGCTGCATTTCGAAAATTTTTTTTCTTTTTTTATTACCGGTTGGCCGAACCAGTGATATATACAGAACTAGGATTAAAAACGGTTTCACGTGAGGGATCTGTACCCGATTCCGTATCGATCCCAGACATTTCACCGGGGACGAAAGAAAAAGAAATCGTCGGAGGAGTTCCCGGCCGAGTTCTTTTTGTTTTCCCACGGAACGTTGTCTAATCGTATTGTTTAAATTCTTTTCGCCTTTGTATCTTTTTATCCTTTTTTTTATTCTCTCTCTCTCTCTCTCTTTCTCTCTCTCTCATCTTTTTTTTAACGAAAATGACGCACCTTTTTTTCTCGTGATATCCCACGCTCTCTGCCTTTCTCTCGTCCTTGCTCTCTGCCTTTCTCTCGTCCTAGCTCTCCGCCTTTCTCTCTTCCTCGCTCTCTACCTTTCTCTCTTCCTCGCTCTCTGGCTTTCTTTCTTCCTCGCTCTCTCGCCCGTACTCCTCCGTGTTCCTTTTCGAAATAAATCCGGACAGATTTCATCTCGTACAGATAAATTAGAAACCGTTTCGGGCGGTAAAACGCGCGCTATTCGAACGGTATGAAGTTTGCCTCATCGATATTCGAGAATCGGTGTCCGCGTGATCGTACGATCGATAGCGTGCGTCGATTACGTCGCGAGCGACACTCACGGCAGACTACGTGAATCAGAGGTATGTATCCGGAAGTCGCGTGATTGAGGCATTTGACAAATGTCTATTTAAGTATTCCTGAGTTCCGTCGAAACGATCTTATTCAGTGCGATTATTACATGTTCGTTTGTGCACGACTTTGCCGAAATTCAGTGTAAATGTGACGAATTCGAGGCACGCGATCGATCGAGATACCGTTCGACGCGATTACAGAAACACTTCTATGCTACGCTGGATCGTCTCTACGAATTTTTTAAGTAAGTAATGAATTTCATTGTAAAGAAATCGTTGACAATGTCCCTCTGTTTTTTGTCTTGTTTCCCTGCTTCTCCTTTCTTTCTTTCTTTCTTTCTATTCTCGCACTCGTTCTTCCTCGCATATCCTATATCATAATCGTAAACCTAAATTGGCTCTCTAAATTTGACAAAAGTGGTACCCCTTGGCTCTCAGATTTTCTGCATTCCGTGTAATTCTTATTATTTACTCATTCTATCTCTCTTTGCATTTAATTTATTTTCTCTTTTTTTTCTCAATATGACGCCCCCTTCTATCTCGTATCAGCCATTGTTTTTTATTCGACTCGATTATATTTGTTCGAAAGTATTTCTTTTCTTTTTTTTTATCTCCCTTCCAACCCTCTTTTTCGTTTTCGTTTAAGTTAATTTGTAAGTATATAGGTACAAAGTTGGATATTAATTTGTTCGTTTCCGTAGTTAATACTATTTATATGTATATGTGTATATATAATATATATGTGATTCACGATGCGTGTTCGATCCTAAGATTGAGCATGCCTATGTACAAATGGGCATGGCAAGAGTGTGAAAATTAACAAGCTTCACCTTGGCTCCCTTCGCGTTGTTCGTCCACTTGCATTGTTTTTCTTCAGCAACACTTGACGATTTTCAAAGCAAATGGTAAATAAGTTATGCGCTCATCACATTTTAGTTTAGAGAAAATAGAATTTTCTTTTCTTTTATTGAACATATTTTTTAATAAAATAATTTAAAAGATACTCAAATAAACAAATAGCAAATAACAAATTGATGCTGCGAAGAAAGTCAAGGGAGAAATTAGATCAAAATTACGTTAAATGAAACACAATATATCTGATTTATCATTCTTCACATCTAGCCAGCTGGTTTTCGCTTTTGACTCCCTTCAAAATTTCTAGCGCAATTTCCTACGAGAATTTGCCGATGTTCTTGTCATAGTTCTCCGAATTACTTTATCAATGTTATTATATTAAAGTAAACCCGTTTTCTTTTCCCTTGCTCTTTTGCTCTTTCTCTCGTTTAGAATTTCTTAAAACCGGCTACTAATTATAAAGGTCCTACGTTTGTATAGGATATGCAGTATTTTATATCGTAAGCGTTAATAGTATCGCAACGATAAGTTCTTCGCGAAACTTTTTCGTGCAATTTTACCACATAACAAATATATTATAACAAATATTAAAGGAGAGAATAAAAACGTTCAAGCTACTTTAATTTCATCGAATTGAATTTTTATACGCTATCATTTCATTTATGAATGAAATATAAATTAATAAAAGAAAAAAATGGTAGTAATTCCAACGACATAAAGGTCGAACAAATTTCGCGAAGGATCTTACAACTGCAAGTAACCAGCGGATTACAAACTGAACGTATTACATAATTCGTCTTGTATATTTTTTCCCCTTATCAAGTGTTAGCCACTAATACAGAGTTTATACTTTGCTGTGTGATTAATTATGTAGTCATTGTTCCAAGAGCCTACTAATATAAGTCATGCACTTGCAAAATGTTTTATTTAGAAATTGTCTTACAATAGTAATTTTTTTCTTCGTTTCGTCACTTGATAGTTTACATTACACGCCGTCGCGTCTGATAGAGCTCTACGTTTGGTTTGTATCTTTTTTTTTATCTCCACGAGTAAAAAAGCTTCTTTTTTTTATTCCCATGCTGCACGTTCTGTCCACTAATTCAAGCATGTTATAGATATGATAAGATATCGCCTCTTTTTTTATACATTCTCCACGTAATAATGGTCGATCGATTACCCGGTTACCAGATGGTTCCTCCTATCTATAGAATTCGCCGCAAAATAATCGAGTTTCTCACTATTTCGTCCGTCTCGTCTCTGTTTCATTCTCGAAGCTAAGCCCTTATATCGTGATTACATTTCACTGTTCTGCTCTTGCTTTGGACTCTGTAGAATTTTGTAGAATTTTCGCGTGGCGATAGTGGATAATATGGCAGAGTGCAATGACAAGAAGAAAATGAGAATCGTCGCGAGAGAATTGAAAGCACAGTAGCGTGACATCGAATTTTATAAGCGTAGACAATTTCAAGATATCGATGTCGAAGTCACTGACTTAGAAAAACTTGGAAATTCTAATTTTAATATCTGAAATGTTCTATTTGAGCATCATAAAGAAAAGGAGATATTAGTATCTAAAAAAAATTTAATTCGTTGGCAAATTTTAAACCCCAACATGATATCAAAGTAGCTATTCTGCGGTATCTCCGAAAGAAAAACGGTGACTCTATTTCAGTGACGTCGATCAATATCCAAGGAGAGTACCTTTTAAAGAGTAACAAACGAGAAGTGAAGCGATGTAAGGGAACGAACTCAATTTCTTGTGATAAAAATGGACGACCACAGGTAATTGTATTTCTTACTGAATGTATACGTGCAATCCAAAAGCAGAGCGTATTAGTATCTTGTTCGAAGCAGTTAAATTCGCAGGTTATTTCTAATCTTCGACTCGAGTAATTCCCCTTTTTCCTATTTGTCTTTGTAATCAATGATTATTTTTCTCGTCCTTTTCCCCGGTTATTCTTTCTCTATTCCCACTTTTCTTTCCTTTCTTTTCTTTTTTTCCTTGTAAAGAGAATTTACATGTTGCAAGCACAATCAGCGAAAAGAAAATCACGTTCGTTAATCAAGTGTTTAATGCTATAGATATTTTCTACGTACACGTGCATGCTCATCGAATTGTGTTCACAAGTGACCAGACAAATGCACAGACAAAGATCGAACACATAACATGAGAATTAAGAGATATAAAATCGATTGTGAGTTTCACGATCGTTCGCCTCGTTCGTTGCCCGAGGTCGAGCGTCGTTTCACGCTTCCTTTCCCGAAAGGTTCGTCAGCAGTGTGTATCGCGCGGTACACGGTTTCCGCGGCGAGTCCCGCGACAAAACGAGATGCGAATATCACGGACGTCGTGTCCGCTGTATGAAAGAATTACGTGGGCGGTTCGTTCAGTAAATATTCACGTTAAAAAAACGAGCGTTCCGTTGAAAGTCGAGTGCAAGTTGATAAAGAGAATAAAAGATTCTAAATCGTACACGGCTGTCCCCTTACGCGTAAACATCCGATTCGTGAGGTTTTTCGACAATTAAATAAAAACTAACAGAATCACAATATACGACAGTCGATATAGTTAGCACTTCACTTCTCTCCTTCTTTCTCACGCACACACGCACACGTACTCTCTCGCGCAAAATAGTTGAAGATGGGCTACTTTAACGTTCAACAACAATTCGCTAATTCATGATATTTCTCGGCCTCGTTCCCGTTCGCCTCGCGACGCCTTCGAATTCGCGGCCGATTTCGACGGATCAAACGCGACACAAGACTCGACGAATGTTTTCTTCGTCTCGAGCTCTATTTTCTTGATCGTGGTAGTAAAAATCAATATGGAGCGCGGGTGGTGCCGCGATGCTCGAAATCGCGAGGGTAACGGGACAACGAGAACGCGACGGTCAAGGCAATTGTTCATCATTTTGTAAACACCTACGCGCATACGTATCGCGAATTCATATATATGTATATATATCATTGTTATAATATTTACAATAAATAATATACGCTCTCTCTCTCTCTCTTTCTCTTCCTTTCTCTCTCTCTCTCTCTTTCTCTCTCTCTCTCTCTCCCTCTCTCTCGCTCTCTTGACGATGATGGCTAAAAACTTTGACAACGAGTTCCAAGTATATTTATCTGTTGTTTTTCTTCTTTCAATATATCTTTTTGCTTTTTAATTTGTTCATTTGATTGTTCTTTAAATGCGACTGTCTTTTTTTGTTGTATTTCTGAAAATCGTCACTGGCGTCAACACTCGGAGCGTCCTAAATTATGTACAAATATTATTTGAAATGTCTATCGCGAATACGCGAAACAGTAATATTACTTAAAATTTCGTTAGTGGTTCGTGACGATGATTCATAATGTTCGCGTCACATCACCGTTCGTTACGACGTTTACCATTTTCAACAAATTTCACCACTTCACTGCTTTTCTCGTTCTTCGTTTCACTTCAACATCGAGCATCGAAACACCGTTCGGCACCCCTTTCTCATAGCACACCACGTTGAAATTCGTATCGATCTTGTATCGAGTATCTCTGCGTTGCTTTCACTGTAAAGGAAACGAAAGGTACAGATCAGTCGAGCGTTCGATTCCAGGTGCAGTAATATCCATAGAAACATCGCATATAAGAGGAACAATGAGAAGTAGATTAACGATGGAAATAACTACAAGTCGTATGTACACAGTTAAAAATAAGAATTCAGATTGGGAGAAGAGGTGTTGCATTTTTTGGGATATCACTCGGTATATCACTTTGGATTGTTGGCATCCTTGATATTTTTAGGAAACATTGAAGAAAACTTGAACAAGGGACTCCGAATACGGCAGACTTACCTTGCATATCTTTTTTTTTTTTCAACGAGACATTTATTTTACAAAATCGGGCAGGTTCCTCCACATTGGAATGAAAATTGTTGAAAGAGGTTGCGAAATAGAAGTGCAATACTGTGCAGAATTCCAGATTAACAAAGTAACACACGTAATCAAGCAATATCAGGTTGTCTACAGATACTCGTGGCTGCGAGTATAATGGAAAAAGAAAAGGAAAAGAAAGAACAGCGAGAGATTGCGAAGTGACACTTTCAGGAGAACAGACACAGGTATTTCGCAGTAAAAAATTTAGACGAAAAAAACGAGCTGAAAGAGTTGTACGAATTGGCGAATGCTCAGAGAAACAAACGGATAAAAAGACAGAGAAACGGCGACGAAGTTTCGATTCTGGATCGGCAGAATGTTTGGCGCGTGTTCGTCATTGAATTATCGTCACTTCGTTGCCGTCGAGGAACAAGTTGGCCACCAAGACAGAGAATTTAGAAGGCAATAGGGTAATTTCAGTGTAAAACGAAGACACAAGGGGAATTTTTAACAACACACGTCCATAGATTTCACGTGGATACTTCAAAAATACTTCAGTCAATTTAAGCTTCTCAAACTTTTTACGGAGGTTGGAGAATATGAAATAACTATGGCGTCAAGTATCCATGTGAAATCGTTCGAATCAATTATTTAGGAACGATGCGTTGATCTCAGTGCGTACCTAAAACTATCTGGCGCTCCAGGAACATGGCTGCTATCTCTACATCTAGTCTACATAAAGACTAGTGGCTCATCTGATATGCCGTACATGATATGTGATGTGCTAGTGGTGTTTCTAGAAAGACATGTCCTCTCGTACGACCTTTCACACTTTTCCCATTCTCGCGGTTACCTTGCAAATAAAACACACTTTTCTCGTTTTGTTCAACAACACGAACTCACTTGCCCAATATAGCCACGCAAACTCTTCTCTCTCTATATTATATAGTTCTTCTCGTTATTGACATCGTTCGTAACTGACTTTTCTTTTACCGTATTCAGAGCCGACGGTCTATCGATAAATCGTACTCGAATTTCGAACGTTAATACACGAATATCTTTACAATGGGGAATAATGGAACGGACATGTATCGCGAGAAATCTCCATGAAAATCTTTGTCAATTTTACTTATAATGTACGCGTTTTATTCTTCTTTAAACGATCTTTGAATATTTGCAAACAACTATTATATATGGATTCACTTTGAAAAAGAAAATGTATACGTTATATGGACAAACGCGATTAAGAATAGACTCGATACCTTCTTTTTTTTGGCTTTTTTCTTACTCTTTCCGTCGGGAATTAAAAGAAGCTCGAGCCACCGTCGGATTACACGTAAAGAGAATACTAGATGGAAGAGTTCTTTAAATCTTAAAGGACTCTAAGGACGTGGCCGAGGATCGACGGGATAAAGCTAAGGATGGAGGTCCACTGACCAGGGATATGTTGCCAAACAGCTTATACCACCCGAACACCATCTCATTGAGGTTCAGTTCGTCCAACACGATCTGCGCAATGCCCATGAACACTTTTCTCCCTTCTAATCGGCCGTAATCACCCCACACTGTTACCTAGAATCACGTAAAAGACACAAAATCGATAAATCGATATTCTAAACCGACTAGAATCTTGACAGAAATAAAACGAAAATAATTTATAATTAAATACCTGCAGTATACAACCCCGGCAATTTTCTCTAAAGGCTAACGACTGCTGGTAGAACGGGTCCAACGTTTTTCTGGCTGCCATTGTTTTCGCTTTCGCGATACACTTCTTTCCGTTCACCAAGTAAACTTTCACGTAGGAAGCTAAAATGGTGGAAAAAGTCACAACTGATAGATGGTAATTCAATTTACTGGATCAGTGTTCTCAAAAATTGTGGAAGGGTTGCTAATACTAGAACCAGTAAAATTCATAATTTTTTAGAGAAATTTTATATATTTACACGAGTAAATTTTAGAGATTTTCTTTGATCTTAAATGTGTACAGTACGTGGATAAAGACTTACCTTTTCTCTTGCGCTATATATTTCTTCGCTAGTAAATTTTATAAATTTATATCGGTGTGTTATTGAATTTATTAGTGCATTATTGAAATATACGTATTTTTTCATACACGATTAGCTTGCTTTTGGCGCCTTAGTTTTATATCTTAGTCATCGGTAGTTCTAGTATTAGAAAGGCCCCCGGCACAAATAGAACCAGTGCAAGGATTGGCAACGAACCTGGAATAGCTTTAGTGCCCTGCTTCGGTTTAAGATCTTTGGCACGTATGACCTCCACTTCAAGGTAGCCTTTCTTCTGGGTGAGCGAAAGCTGGATCTCGCCAAGGCAGCGAGCACCAAGTGCCTGCCTTCCGACCACTTGGCCAGGCCCAAGATCTTCGATGAAATCTCTCAGTTGGCCGGTTTCGCCTGTCATTCGTAGACTGGGAGACCAACTGCAGTTTCCAAAATCAAACGTTTAGTGATCGATGAAGGTCTCCGAAGTATGTCAGTAAAATTCAGGGTAAAAATTGAAAATAAAATATAGGACAAACGGGGCTAACAGAAAATTTCGAGGGAAGTTCGATTCACAACATCGTAAATCGATGATATACATATATATATGTGTGTGTATGTATTCATCGATAGATTATGATTATTCGTTCGTATCGATACTTTCTTCAGTTCGTTAGTTTAATCGAGTTGATGACGATCGAACGTAAAAGGGAAGGGATTAAATAAACGAATCGTTAAGAGATCGTTCCGCGGGAGCGAGGGACGATTCTCGCAAGTCTTCGACGGAAGTGCGGAAAGAGAGAGCACACCTCATTCAATTTTAGACAAGAAGAACTCACGCTGCGAGTATAGTGTTGGTGTAGCGAGTAAATATATATAGTGTACGAAGAAAACTGTAAGGTTGGAGAACGTAGCAGGCTGTCGGTGCATGCAGACCATTCTATGAGCGAGTTACCATACCAAGTATAATATCCTCCAACAATAATCAGCCTTCTCCTTTGTCATAGTACATCTACCACTTACGGTTACGTGTAGTTTCTGATTATTGTTGAATCGACTAATTGTACTATGTCTATTCATGCTTCTTTGATACTTAATCCAGAATAATTGTTCTTAACTTACGGTTCAGGATTACCTTTTGCTGTCTTATTGTCTAAAATCTGCCCCTATTTACTGGAACGCTTTATCGTCCTTGTTGCTATATCGTATGAAATGAAAGAATTTAGTGTAGGACGTTGGGGTCGTTTTATTTCTATTACATTAACCTTTTTGTGTGTTATCCTGATAATTTTTTTAGGAGTAAAGAATTAGTCGGGATATATTATATGTACACTGCGCTTGATCGTTGAAAAATAACGTTTACCAGAATATTGAGGATTCGTAGATATAGATAATTCTACGGTCATATATTTAAGATGGGATATGTAGGATTTTATGGATAGAAATATCTGTGGTAGGTGGACAAGGGAAATGATTTACAATGATGGAAACACATATATACACAGAGTGTGTGTGCGTGGTTCACATACAGTGGTGCTTTGACGATTATTTAGCCAAGCAGTAAGCCAAGACGACGATAACATTGACAAAGGAAAATATGATAACAGCATCAAGAGACATTGATAATACATCGATATATAAAATACGAAATAAACGAAACTTAAAACGAAGAATTAAGGAACAGAAAATATGAGACATTCTTATGATGTGCTTCCATATCTGGTTCTTCCAAGTTCCTCCTTTTTTCACGACTAATTACATCAACCAAGGGATAAAAGAATCGCTTGTCGGTACAAAGGAAAATGATATGGGTGTAAAAAGAAGGAAGGGGTAAAAAGCATGAATGAGCAAAACATCAATGCTGGGCATACACATCAGCTCAATCACACGTCGAAAGACAAAACGATCCACGTTTCACGTATCGCGATCTCCTGTGCAGTAAACAATAAAAAGGTTATCCGAGGAGCACGGTGAAAGTAGAAACGGAAAGACAGAGTCAGACAGAGAAGTCAGAGAGTCATTAGCAGGGTTAATCCAACACTCGGAATTTCTGAGTCAGCGAAATTACCGATCTATTCTCCTTTCGGTACATTTAAAGCTCACGAAGTAACCCTGCTGGAAAGATAGTAGATAGTTTTTGAAAAAGTAGAAGACAGAGTAGACAGAGAAGAAGAAAAAGTTTTGAAAGAGACAGACAGCAAGGAGTCTCGCAGTTCCGGCTGCAGAATCGGTCGGTGGAGGCCACTACTTACGAGCTTCCTTCGGAACTAGAGATCGAGTTGAGACTTCCGGCTGTGTCACTGGCCAACGATCCCGACTGTTTCCCGGATTCAAAGCGTTGATAGGGTACGATCTCCTCGGAACGCTGTATGCTGCTCGGCGTGCTGTTGCGTTTCCGGCTCGATAAACCGGCGCGTGCCTCCGCGACACCGCTTCCGACGAAGATCCCGCCGATACCGCACTCTGCGTTGTAAATCAAACAAGAAACAACCGCTAAAGCTATGATCTTTCATTGTGATTCCCGCATCGCGTCCGCCGCAGCCCTTTTCTCTTTCATCCAGCTCCAGGTGGTCGCCGTGCGTTTCTCTTTCGATTATTTTTATCACGACGAATCTAGCTCTCTTTCTCTCCCTTTCGTTCGCTCATTCTCACAGTACCCTCGCTTCCTTTTTTTCGCTCACCGTTCGTTCGAATTTTCTCTCATAACGAAAATCGAGGAAGTGATAAGAGAGAATACACATGTACACCTGGATGAAATTCTGACTATGTGAATGAAATCGATGAAGGTTTTGGAAGATAGACAAGTAAAGGAAAGGTGCTTTCAGTTCGGTTAACTACTACGTAGTTCGTGGGAAAAGACTTCGATGACCTGTATGCTCGAATCGGTCTTTCAAAGTCCACGATATCAATGACGATTCTGTGGTACAAGGCCTGCGAAAGATCTCGTTCCCCGATGGGGTTAAACTCCTGCTCTCTGGAAGAAAGAATACGATAGAACAATGATTAACAGCAGACGGAAATTCAAGAGCCCTCTGACTCTCTTGTGTGGTCGCACCTGCAATCAGAAGCGCGCAAAAGCGTTACAAGCTAAATTTTTGTAAGTGTATCATCAACAAAACGTCACATCTATACTTCTGCTATAGGAAAATTCGCTGCAGCTATGTATATATATATATATATATGTATATTCATACAGATGTATTTGCATGTTGTGTTCGTGTAACACAGAAGTGTACAGAAGGGTTTAATCCTACGAAGACTCGTTCGTTTCTCTCTGAACATCTACGGTGTAAGCGAGTATTTCACATTTGCTCGCGTTTCACCGAACTTTCGAGAAGTACATAAGTGTCGACAGGCAAAATGTACAAGACTCGTGTGCTACAGTCAACGAACCTGTTTTGCTTTGTAACGAAGAAGAAATTAAAAAAAAAACAAAAATAATATCGAGATATATGTATATCCATGTATATATATGCACGTATATGTAGAAATATGCGCATGAGAACACTGCTTCGCTCGAAGACATCAAGAAACGAAAAGCCGTAGTGGGTGAAGTAACCTTCACCAGTAAGCACGTATCAACAGCGGCTTCTAATAAAAATAAACGACAACGAATCAGGTGGTCAACTTACCTACCGTCGTGTGTAAGTCTCGATCGTAATCGAGATTTGCAACAAGTTGACCACATGTTTCATCTATAAGTTGAAAAGCTATACAAAACAGATAAACAACGCGACGTATTGCCAGCATCAATCTTTGGCCGGCGCTTTAGCTACAAAGTCACGAATAAGACAATCCGACATGAACAAATATACTTGAGCAGCTAATACGTAAGGTTCTTGAGATACAACCTGTTTCTTCTCGATAGAACTGGATGAACAACTTCATCGAGCTCTACACAGCTCAGGAAACTCGTGCAAACGTTCATCTAAAAGTTACGTATCGCTACTACGTAGGAACAGTCTCTACGATCTATGAGAAGTGACTTGTGAATCGTTTCGCGACTATTTGGAGAACCGTGCAACCTCGAAAATACTTTCCCCAACAATTAAATAATAATAAATAATCGCAATCCGAAGTTTGATTATTAAAAATGTCGAAGAAAGTATTTTCCAACGATAGTCACGAACAGTTTCGCGTCACTCCCCTCTCTAAAGCACAACTTCTGTCTAAAGAGGAATGTGCTGAGTGTTTTATGGTTGTTGTTGTTGTTCATAGAAATGTCGTAGACTGATCACGCTGCTGTCGTTCTTCTTGCCTCTCTGTATCTCTCTGTAACTTGTACTCACATTTCGCCGAAAGCTGCTACGACATCCTCTCGAATGGACTGCTAATTATCGTTAATAAATTTAACCGCTGAAGAATAGACAGATCTAACGCGCGTATTTGTTTCATACAACGTCTGTATAAATATATGTTAAAGAAATTCGCGTGTCGATGACACCGTGCCGAACGCTCCCACGTAACGAAAATAGGGGATTGAAATCAAAGAGGGAGAAACAATTAAAACGGGGATGATATATTTTGCAGAGTGTGTTCGGACCTGTCCCCGTCGCCGCTACCCTCGCCATCGCTGCTTGCGGAACTCGGTTGCCTTCCGCTCCTTCCGCTGGCCGTGTCCTCCGGCAATACCTCCTCGCTCCTATGAACTGTAAAGGAGGACTTGCCCTTCTTCCCGAATCCTAGCCGCCGTTTTCGTCCTTCGTCGCCCACGCATGTACCACCAACAGACGCACGTGGTATGTTATGGTTTTTGCGTGACGTGATATAGTTTTTTTGTTGTGGTTGTAGTAGTAGTAGTAGTAGTAGTAGTAGAAGTAGTAGTAGTAGTAGTAGAAGTAGTAGTAGAAGTAGTAGTAGAAGTAGTGGTTGTAGTGATGGTAGTAGATGTTGTTTTCATAGTAGAAGAGCGGTGAATTGTGATTTTGTTGTGTTAATTTGCATATATAGTATCGATATATGCGTGGTGCGTATGTAAAAATTTTTCTCGTGGCAGAGTTGTAGTATAATTTTTTTTTTTTTTGAGTGTTTTGTTTCAACGTTTTTGCGTAATAGTAGAGCGATCGTTTCCAGCGATCGATCGGGATGATCCGCGTCGAGTGTTGTCCCGTGACACGATCGCGCGAGCGACGATATAGCCCGCCACGATGAGAAATCGTGCAGGTGGGTGCAGATCGATGACGTGAATGGTCCCCAGCGTCGAGAGATAGTTGGTTGGTAGAAGTAAAGTGTGAATGTGTTCATGTCGAAGAGAGGCGGATAGAGATGAGGAGGGATGGCGGAGAAAACAAGAATACGATTAGAATGTACATACTGCCCCGTTTACTGGGTTTTTTGCTCTTCTACCGTGTGCTCTTGATATCGTTTGTACCGCTTCCTTCGCTCTACTTCGCGGATTCTCCCGTGAAACTCGTGAAAATCCGCTTTTCGATCGCCACATCTTGTCACGTGTGATGTGAACGAAACGTACAAATGTTTAATCAAATAATCTTCTTGAAAATGACGAGAAAAATATAGCGAGAGCACACCGTAGGTCTACTCACTAATGGTGCTAAACTAACGCTATGCTATTATTCGAGGAACTATCGATATATTACAAAGAAACTGACTACATTAAGATGCCAGATAGAAAGAAGAGACAGAGAAGATAGTCTAGAAATCGCGCGAGAATAATATGAATGCGAAATAGAAAAACGTCTTCACGCGACCGCTCTCGAACTTATCGAATTTCCCGAACAAAGTAGCAATACACCGCACGCAACGTTTAAAATGTGAAATTGGAAGAAACGACTAGTGTGACGATGTGTTACCTGTGGCGGACAGCTGACTAGTGCTGTTACTCTTCTTCCCGAGACCTGACTGATACTGCACCGCGCTTCCGCCACCGCTGCTACTTCCGCTTCCGCTTTTACTGCCGGGCGAACTCTTGCGACCCCTCCTCGAGGAGTCCTCCACGTTCAAACCGATCGCCGTATCGCTCAAACTACCGTCTAATAAACAAACGTCGCGTGAACACGGAAATAATAAAAAAAGAAAGAATCTAGAAGAGTAGGATTAGGAAATTAATGCAGATACACCGATGGTTGAACGATGATTATCACAGCATCGTTAGGCTGTCCAATAAAAAAAAAAATTACTTCCATTCAAAATACATTCGATTAGACTTCAAATAAAGAGAAACCCTCGTTATGTAGAAAAATATTTGACACTATAATTTGGGCATATCTGTATTAATCACTTCCTAAATTTCTAAACTACAATTTTCCTAATGAAAATTCCTAAAAACAATCTTCCTACAAAAAAAATAATGCCTCTAAATCTAATTCCAAAGAGAGATCGCAGAAACTTACCAACTTTCTCGTCCTGTGGCGCGTCGGTATTACTAAGACTCCTGGTGAACTGTCCCCTTTTATGGTCGTCGTGCTCGTTATCGCCTGGCTGGGTCCTGGACGGCTTCTCGTACGAGCCCGACTGACTGTACTCGCTGCTTTCGGGCATGGAGGAGGAGCGGCGATCCCGCGCGTCGTCACGTTGTTGGTTGACGGCGGTGGAGGCATCGTCGGCGGCG